AGGGAGGGGGGAGAGGAGGATGCGAGCAGAGAAGGAGGGGGAGGCGAAGGGATGGAGAGAGAGACGGGGAGCGGAGAGATGGAGGAGCGGGAGAGAAGGAAAGAGGGGTGAGAGATAAGGAGGGAGAGATAGAGAGAGAAAGAGAGGGACGAGAGAGTGACATGTAAGAGTGAGTGAGACAGATGAGTGAGAGAAGAGAGATAGATAGAGGACAGACGGCATAGCGGGCAGATGGAGTTTGGGAGACACAAAGAAATAGTCTCAACAGTGAGCGAGAAAAGGTAGGCGCAAGGAGCGGAAGAGTGAGGGGAGAAGAGTGAGGGAGAGAGAGAGAGAGAAGAGGAAGGAGAGAGAAAGGGAGAGAGAGAGAAGTGAGCGGACGAGAGGAGAGTCAGAAGATAGCGGCTGCATGACAAGCAACTACGTATTAACTGCTGCGCTAACACAGACACTGTGCTGCCACCTGCTGTCCTATCTACACGTAGAAGCATACATCACAGATTATCACTGCATTTAGATTACTAATTTGTTACATCATAGCATATAGCATATAGCATATTTTAGACGCATATACATCATAGATGTTTACTGCATTTAGATATTCTTGCGTTACCAATCTTTTACAAAGAGTCTTAGAATAATGATTATCACTGCCAACGGTCCAACGATGACGCCGCCAAAACTTTCACTACGGCTACAAACAGCAATAAAGATGTCGTGTAACAAGAAAGACAGCGAAATTATACGGGAATATCGTGAGATATTTGTGCATTTCAGGATCATCTGTAAATTCTTAGGGTTGGGCTTTCCGAATCAATTCTCACCTTTCTTACAACTGTACAAAAACAGCACAAACTCAGTCTATGGGGACAATACATACATCACATACACAACAATCCAATAGTGCGTGTGTTCCCTTCACAGTCATTATACAGTCATAACAAACTAGCTCTACTCATGTAGAACGCGTCCATATGTGCGTGTGTGTGTGCGTGCGTGCGTGCGTGCGAGAATTTGTATGTGCATGTACACGTACATTAAGATCGCATGAACAAAATGTTTAAAGCCTAGCGCAGACTTGTGACTTTTTCATGCAACTCGGCTGCGATTCTAGTGCAGTCGAAATTGCTGTGAAATCGCTATGTCTGCGGGAACGTGCAACTGCAACTCGTAACGATTCTGGTCGCTTGCAACGAGTTGCAAGAAATCAGACTGGTTTGATTTCCAGCAACTCGTCGCTCCCAATCGCTCCGAAATCGCTTCGAAATCGCATGTGTGCGGGTAGAGAGCGACTTGCATGCGCACACACGGTGAAGCGTGCGACCGATCCCATGAGGTTGCAGGTTGCAGCGCCGAGTAACCAAAAATCGCAAGTCTGCGCTAAGCTTAATATGATCTTGCGCACATGTATAGCACGTGCGTGCGTGCGTGCGTGCGTGCATGCGTGCGTGCATGAATGCGTCCGTGTGTGCGTGAGTATGTATGCATGTGTGTATGTATGTATGTATGTATGTATGTATGTATGTACTACGTGCTACCTGTAGCATGTACGTGCCACTGGCTGCCGCTGTATATACAGGTAGAGATGACAGTTAACGAGGGAGCCTACCTGTCATCCTCCAGTGACATGTCGCCTCTGTGCATGTCCCTCACCGCTGCCATGCCCTCCTGAAAGCGAGCCTGCAGCCGGCTGGAGTAGTTGTACGCCCCGCCCTCGCTGATGTACCTACAACAACAACAACAACAACAACAACGATAACAATAATAATAATAATACATACTCTGTGTAAGCACTGATACATATATGTGCTAGTTATAGAAAACAACCATGTTTCTATATGCTATAATGAGCATGCTGTAACATGCTATATAGTCCCCACACGACGTGTAATATTAAATGATTTACTTGTTCAATTTATGAAGATTAGAAAAGGTTCAACCAATGAGTAATTGCACTAGAAGGCATCGCAGAAGTTTCATTTTTAGAAAAGCATATTCTACAAAATTAACAAATCTTGCAATATCCATCCTCACTCACCTGCCTTTTAAAATAATAAGTCAAACAGCCACTAATTGGAACAGAAAATATGTCGGCTTAGCAGTTTTAGAAAAGTCATATCCTCTACGACGTAAAATAATTCTCACAAAATCACAATTGAGGAAAATTACCCAAAATGAGATTAATAATAAGGGAAATAGGAATGAATATAATGAGGCTCCTAAATGATTGACACATGCGTATGCCAGACCCACTATAAATGATGACATTTATTAAACTGTCTACGTCACGAATTTCGAGCACCAGCAAGTAGTATATTTGTGTATTATTTGTACAAAATTAAATTGTATGAAAATACAATTGGCGTTTATGTTTACTTTTCATGCTTATATACCTTCTTTATACTCCCTAATTTGCCGGTGCATTCGATGTAACCAAACGCTCGACACAACAACAACCGCCATTAATTCGAAACTAAATTCTGATAATTCTGAATAAAATTCTGATATCGAAAATAAATGCCGAATGCGATAAACGACCGAATAAATATCTGTCACTTCCAAATATCTGACAAGAACTGAATCAACGTATAGGAATAGTTATGACTCACATCCATGATTCGTGCAGTTATTCCGTACGGAATTAATGTTCGCTGCTATTAATTCGGTTTCTCGAGGCGGTGCACCAATGAATAATGATGAGGCTGGTTGCTCATAATGGTGAGAAACCAACAGCTTAGCTACATCGATCATGCTATATTGCTGCTGCTGCTGCTGCTGCTGATGATGATGTTGATGATGATGATGATGATGCTACTGCTGCTGCTGCTGATGCTGATGATGATGATGATGATGATGATGATGATGATGATGAAGACGAAGATGGCGGCGATGAATTTAGGCCTACTTGTTGCGGCATGTAACTAATAATAACTATGCAGGCACGTATAAATTTCTCAACGCAAACGAGGTAATTCTAGAACATGATGATGGAGAATCAATCTCAGTTCTGTTCAAGATTAAAAGATTTGTATTCAGGCTTAAAAGAGTTGCGTTCAAGGTTAAATTAAATGTAACGTTCAAGGTTCTGTGTTCCGTTCAAGGTCGGAAAATCTCTTTAAAGTCGACAGAGTTCTAGTTAAATGAGCTCGTGCTTACGCACGCACACGTGTGTATGTGTGCCCATATCTGCATTACTTATAAACATCAGAATGAATTCGGAAATAAATCAGAACGTAATTAGAATTAATCTCACTGACTCCGAAAATTCTCCTCCGAATGAATTCGGAATGAATCTAAATAAATTCGGAATGAAAATCGCAACAAATACAAAACGAAATCAGAACAGATACAGAACGTAATCGTAACGAATACAGAACGAAATCGGAACAGATAGTACAGAACAAAATCGGAAGTCATTGCTGTAAGGGCTGTGTGAGGGAGACGGCGCACGCGCGCTCACCCGCTGAGCAGGTCGTCTCCACCGCGCACGTTGTTGCGCAGCACGCCGCCGTCTGACATGTAACCCTCGGCGATGTCGATCACCTCCAGGTCAGAGCCGTAGTCCGCCTCGTAGACCGAGTTGCTGTTCGACACCGTGCGCTTCATGCTCGCCGCAGCAGCCGCCGCCGCCGCGGAGGCTGAGGAGAAGGGCTTCGTCGTCTCCTGGCTGTTGAGAACGTGGCGGCTGGCGGCGAGGCGCGGCGTGCCGCTAGCATCCTAGGGGGAAACGCACGCGATGTTGTTAGTTCGTTGGACGGTGGAAGGAAAAAACTAAACCTGTGTTCAGTTTAACCACAACCTACAACACACCTGAAATTTCTACCTGCGTTGCTGCTCACCTGGCAGCGCAGTGATGGCAGGGTCAGCTTGGTGTGGTGGCTGCACGTGTAACCTTACACACATACATTCCACGTGTAACACCTGTATTCCACCTACGTGTAACGCTGACAACACACCTGCTACTCTACCCGTGTGCTCTCCTGCTCACCTGGAAGTGCAGGTATTACATTCCACGTGTAACACCTGTATTCCACCTACGTGTAACGCTGACAACACACCTGCTACTCTACCCGTGTGCTCTCCTGCTCACCTACTCCTTAACTGCCACCTACAACATACCTGCAAGGTGTTCTACCTGCGTTCAGTCTACCTGCCTATAGTTCACGCTCACCTGGAAGCGCAGCGGTGACAGGGTCAGCTTGGTGTGGTGGCTGCACATGTAACATTACACACCTGCTATTCTACCCTTGTGCCCTCCTGCTCACCTTGAAGCGCAGCGGTGACAGGGTCAGCTTGGTGTGGTGGCTGTCACGCACGCACACACACACACGCACACGCACGTGCGCGCACGCACGCACGCAAACACACGCACGCGCACTTGCGCGCACCACAGACACCGGGATGACGCCGACACAGCACGGCGGAGCGGAGAAGAGTCAGAGAGACACGAAAAGAGCCAGGCAGCCACACGCGCACCCACTCCGAGACGAAGACAACTCTGCTATGAAGCCATATCGGGCTGCAGTACGAGAGAGCGCGCGCGCGCGCAGCCACTCGCAGCAGCAGGCAGCAGCCACTCGCGCACCCACACACGCGCGCCCTTCCACGATCAATGTCTCCCATGCACTAGCAGGAGAGAGCGGCAACAGCAGCAGCAGCAGCAGCAGCAGCAGCAACAACAGCAGCAGCAGCGACAACAACAGCAGCAGCAGCAGCAGCAGCGACAGCTGCAGTGAACAACAGCAATTACCACTGCGTAAAAGAAACGGTTTTCTAGCAACACCTTCTTACCCTAGTAACACCCGAAATTTCACGAAACGCGTACGCACGGAACGAGCGGAAAATTTCACGGACAAAACTGACAGTTATACGACGTTACAATAACACAATATAATAGACAACAACGTACACAACGGACGTGAACACGCGGCTCGGACGTATGTAGTTTTCGTGGCCGAGGCCCGCGGCTCGCACGCACGCACGCACGCACACCGACTCACACACATCTGTGATGATGAAGTCCATCGAAATGTCAACACGCACGCCCTCTGGTTGTGATTTGAGACTAATGGGCGTCGAGAGATTTCACGTGTCTGGAGTCTCCCGCTCAGTGATCTAATCACCACAAAACGCCGGCACTCTTACCTCGTCCTCTCCGCCCATCGGCGCATACACGACCATCGGGAGAAGTTCGCTGCAATTACCCCTCCACCGTGATAAACAGAAAAGGAGAGAGAAGGGGGGGGAGAGAGAGAGAGAAGGAGAGAGAGAAAAAAAGATAGCAAGATAGCAAGATAGATAGATAGATAGATAGATAGATAGATAGATAGA